CCCACATACTTACACACATATATATATGCCTACATACATCCACCAACATGCATTCATGTATACATACACACACATAACATACATACACACATATGCATGCATGCACACATATATAATCACACAAACAGACACCCACATTCACATATATATGCCTTCATAAATACATACTTGCATTCATAATACACACACACCCACAATCACACTCATATACAATCACACATACACCAACATATATACATCCATATACTTACAACTTACATTCATAAAAACACACATACTTGCAAACCTAAAAATACATACATATATCCACATACATACACACACACACCAACAATCACACATTCACAAACACCCACATAATACACACATATTATACACATAAGTAAATGATAATGCATGTGAATTGTTAACTACATCTATGGTGGCTTGTAATCACTAGTAAGCATGAATTTAAAAAGGCTGCGGTTAAATGAGTACATACTCGTATTTTTTTCAGATCGTGTGGGAGGTGATTGCATAAATGAGCAGCAGAATATGACAAACTTGTTTTATATAGATCTATTCTTAGTTTGAGAGAGAGAGAGAGAGAGAGAGAGAGAGAGAGAGAGAGAGAGAGAGAGAGAGAGAGAGAGAGAGAGAGAGAGATCTTTATTATTCCTATAAATTTTATCTTGGTAAATGCTGAAATATTTGGATTATATTTGGATTCTGACTGATTTCTATCAGTCTGTTACTGTATAATGTGGACCGCTAGGCATGACCACCTGGTGGCATCCTAGCTCGAGGCCGATTGGCGTTTTTCTTTCATCTCCAGGTATAGCTACATCGCAGTCTTACAGCTTTTATAGAACACCTCCTCCTCTGTTACCTGTTTTGCCCTATTACCTTCTTTTCACAGATCTACATATTATTATTGTCAGTTATCTTCAATTTTACTTATACCGTCTTGAATTATTTACTTTACTTTATAAAAAAATGAATATATATCACCCTCAACTCAACTACTAATAACTGCATCTATTACCACTTTTGTTTTATAGGCAGGGAGGTATTTCAGCCTGGCGATTTACGGCCGCATGACTAGTGCTGTTGCCACGACTGTGCAGGTGAGATTTTTTTGGGGCCCTTGACGGAAAAATCCCCAGCCTTATCGAGGATTCGAACCCCGGTCTTTCGCTTAGTAGTCCAACGTTCCAACAGTACGGCCACCCGCTCCTTCTGTTCAGCCAGCCTCTCCTCCCCTCAACTTTAAACAGTAAAAAATCAGAAATGATATTGCCTCTACTTTTGGTTAGGACTGATTTTTCTAAGTGTTTTTTTTTTCAACTGCGCTGCTTTCTGCCGTTCATCTGCTTCTTGAGTCTTTCTAGCCCCCAATGGAGCATAGGCCCCCAATCAGCTCATGCCAAGTTGTTCTGTCTTTTGCTATCGCACACTAAATGTCTTGGGTGTGTTAGTCTTAGTTTCAGCTTTACAGCAAACAGGTCACCCCATCTTTGCTCCGCTCCTGTGCCAAAGAAAAACACACAGAATGTTTATCACAGTCCCTTGTGGAGAGATTGACAGACTGCTGTCTCAGCATATTTAGCAAACACATTCATTAAAGCATACGGTAGCCATCCGAAGTGCTAACACAAACAGTCTGACAATAGAAATGCAGTTCATCATTGATGGTAGCAGAAGTCACCAACAGATCAGCAGTTGCCCACGCGATCCATTTTAAACACATACAGGCACGACCATCATTGCGGCGACAGACATAGCGCCATATTCTGAATCAACAATTCACACCACCACGTTGGTCACAGTCGAAAAAACATTCCAAATGAAATCCGCTGCTCACAGTGTCACGCCATGCATTCAACTCAGAAGCTGGGCGACGAAACTATATCCAGTCTATCAATAGAGCGAAAATACATTAGCCACCGTCCGGGAGGAGCAACAAAATTACCTCGGCTCCAAACAGTGCCCCTGCCTAGCGTATATTTTGACCGGAAGTCGTGGGTACTTTGAAATTCCACAGAAAATTATGAACTTAGTAAAGGCAACATATAAAGACATGAAATGTCGCGTTCCTTGTGCGGAAAAGCTAACATATACATTTGACATAAAAACAGGTCTGCGACAGGTCTGCCTTTTGTTGCCTTACTTATTTATTCTGGCTAAAGGCCGGATTATGAAGACAGCAACTGCTAACACCAAGAATGTAATTCATTGGACCCCTAGAAAACAGCTCGACGATCTGGACTTCGTCGAAGATATTTCTTTCTTTTGACGGGTCACATATGGGCAGCTCTAAAAAATAAAGGGTATGATTTGACACGGATCCCTCTTGTTTGTCCTAACCTAAACATCTATACCAGAAAACAGAAAATCCATACGTAATAATATGTTCTTTCACCATTTACAGCAATGCCTGGCGATCCATTATAACACATGGTCCTGTTCACGTTTCCCGGCCCATGTACATACGATATCGCGTGTTCTATACTATACGATGATACATCTTTCAGTAACCCCAGGACATGTAGAACTAGCCTAAATCACCACCCCCCCCCCCCCCTTACCCACAGCCTCGGCCTAGGTCACACGAAAAACTCTTCGAAAAAAAAGCAGTACAACCTGACACCCCTCTGACCTAGATCAGACTGTGAAAGTGTATAGATGGGCCGTGAAACGTAAACAGATCCTAACATGTTTGTCGCAACTGTCCCATTAGGGGGTCTAGGGCGGTACTCGCAGCCCCCTAAATGTAACTGATTATATCACCCCCCCCCCCCCATGCCCCCCTCCCGTCCACACTCGCATATGGCAACGATGGAAACATCAGTGAAGTTCGGAACAGGAGAATATTCTGTACCTTCAGCGTCATGATTATGTAGACATAATAAACAGCCAAAGCGAAATTAAAATGTAGGGTAAATATAATGTGTTTCTCATAGCCAATCAGTGGTCTACTGACCAAGGATATTACCTTGTATGCAAATATTCGCTATCTTGTAATTCTCTTCGTGACTGAATAAAAAAAACAGGAAACAGTTGTCTGATCGTCCCATATGCGCAGCAGGAGAAGTCCGAGACCCGGGAGTTAAGATCTTGGTCAGCCCCCCCACCACCCCCAGCGATTGTCAATTAGGGAAACAGGCCGAAACAATTGTTGGATGATTTAAAAAAAATAGTAATGAGGATATCTTACTAGGAGTTAAATTGCTAAGAGTACTAATTACAAACACTAGAAATATGCAGTCTACATTCTTTAGACACGCAATAAGGAGAAACTCCACAGGGGAGCATGTATAACAGGAGTCTACCAATCGTCAGCAGAAGTAATCTCTCGTCGACAAATGTTTCGGCCTACTAGCTCGTAGACGTTTTCAGAGAGTGGGCCCACCTGAGTTCATGAGGCTCAGGGTTGATTTCCTCCTGCTGCAGGTATTACCGGATGTTATCGGACAGGGACAAGACGAACTGATGACTTTGTAAAAGGTACTGTGCGATATGAAGTCATTGGGGTAGCATTTTTAAAGCAGTCTGCTTACCCGGACGACCAAGTGGCAAGCTTACGTTTGGTTTACCGGAAACATGTTGGACTTTGTTGGCAGGTGGCAGAAGGACACTGGCAGAAAATTCGGACACGATGGACTTTAAGGGAAAAGACATTCTTTTTCACTAGACACTCGGACCAGCTCACCGAGGCCCGTCCCCCACGACGTTTCGTTGTGTCCAGAGCCAGCTCAAGGCCCTCTCAGCAACCTCGCCCAGTTGTTTTGGTGCTCGTTTGCGTTCATTTCCTCATAAGCCTAGTTGTTTAATCACATTGTACATTGAAGTAATATATAATTTAATGTATGTATATATGTATATGTGTGTTTGTGTTCCTTGATCAAATTTAGATTTCCTAAACTCCTACATATTTTTTCATTGACATGTAAATATTCATCGTCAGTGTGCCTAGATTTAAAATAATACAAAACGCCCATTGTTTGAAATGGACATAACAGGTCTTTGAAATTGTCACGGCCTGTATTGTTGGACAGTTAGCTGTTCATGCTCGCCATTAATATGTGTTGTGCTCTTTCAGTCAAAATTATTAATTTTTCTTGTTATAATTACTGCCTGCTTCATCTACTCACCAGAACCGATACATCTACCTATATTTCTTAAAGCTGTGATAAATGTTACTCTGTAATTGTTATTCAGTGACAGATAGACAAAGATTGTAATAAAACATCCAAAAGTACTAAAAATGTAAGCAACTCCCCAAAAAATTGTCTTTATGTATCGTGACATGGGACTGACCACCCCGTATTGTATAGTACTTTGCACCGCAACTACAATAATTCTAGGTAAGCCACACGATGATAGTGTTATTGCTAAGGCCAAAGCCACCTTTGCCAGTTTCCTCTCTTTGACTGACAGTTGTGATGGCTGATTCTCAAATTCTGCTGGTTTAGTGGTTAAAACTTTTCTGATTCTGGCCGTAGCTTGTAAAGCGTGTATCATCCACACGGTGCATACAATTATGATAGTGAATGATACATTTCCTAATACAACACTTATTACTATGTCAAATATAATTTCGAGATTTGCTGTTCTTTCGTTTGTTAATATTGCTGGTGATTCCGTGTTACTATTTTCTGGCAATTTCTGAGATTTTTCCAAGCATTCGGTTTTATGTGAAACATATATAGGTATATGAAATCCGACGTGTAGAATGATGATTGTTGCAATGAAACAAATACTGCGCCATTTAGTAAAGATAAGCTTGAATGTAAATGGGAAAACCACACAGGAACATCTTTCTACGGTTATCAAAGCTGTGACCCAACAAGAGATTAGGTACATGGCATTTAGCATCCAGCCGAAACCGGCATAACCGAGTTCCAGAGCATTGATTGCATTAGCCGGATACAACTTGTTTGCCAGGAAGCACATACACACGATACTCTCCAAAACTGTATTCAGAAAATCCGCCAGGGATAAGGCTAACAAATTTATACTCATACTGTCCTTAACTCCTAACTTCCAAAAAATTAACATATTTATGAGGTTGCTAAGAATCCCACTAAACGCCAGAAATATTGGAATATACAAGTTAAGGACATCTTCAATGACTTGGTACAGGGATTCATTAGTGGAGTAATCTTGTTCATAAATGCAATAGTTTGATTTAATTAGATTGATCATTTTCTCCTAGTCGAATCTAGTCAGACAAGGAAAAGTCATTAAGTAAGTCACAAATGGTTATGGGTTGGCAGGAAAAATTAGTTTTTTTGTTCTTTCTAAAGGTGTCATTAGGTGATAGCCACATGGAACTTTATGTCTCCGCTCGTTAGGTGGGACTAGCTGTTGCATGCGCATCGTAACACAGAAACAAAATAGCAGCTGTACTTACTGAGTGTACCCTCGAAGAACATTGTGTGTGTTTTTTTTTTTTTTGGGGGGGGGGGGGTGTTGCCTATAACGGAAATTCATAAGGAAGTGCTTCCTATTTATGAAGACAATTGTTTATCCCGTAAAGCGCTGCATAGGTGAGTACAAACAATTTCCCAAAGGGAGTTCTAAAATTGTTGATAAAGACCTGCTGACCAGAGGTACATTGCAGCTTCGTGACAATGCCAGAACAACGTACGGCTCGGTTAACTAGGGATAAAATTATTGATCTAGGGTGGGAACTTCTGGAAAACCCATCTTACAGCCCCTATTTAGCCCCTAGCGATTTCAACCATTTTGGCCAACTGAAAACCAGCCATGACGGGAGACATTTCGCGAGTGACACAAAAGTTAAATGTGAAGGGAAAATGTGTTTTAGAAAACAGAGCACACAGTTCTATACAGCAGGTTTGGGATAGCTGTTGAAAGGATGGGACAAATGCTTCAATATTGGTGGAAATTATGTTGGAAAAAATTAATAGAGGGGCAGCGTATGTGTGAAAATAAACGGTTTTCACGTTATCGTCTTTATCTTTTATTTTTGTTTTGATTTTGTTTTTAAAGCAATCATTTGTGACTCACTTATTGACTTCTCTTGTACATAGTTAAGACATCTTACACATCCTCTACGTTTTTTTAACACATTCTGTTTGTTTTATACACGTCTTCTGTTTGTTTATTCACATCCTCTGTCTGTTTTATACAATCTTTCAGCACTTTTAGAAATGTTATCGAGGCATGTGTTATTATTATGAGGTTGAATTCGAATTATTATCTGATTAAATATAAGTTTTGGTTCATTGCACGTGAATTGGCAAGCTGATTAAATGTATTCAATTAAAAACAGTACAGTAGGTCAGGGATGCACACGCTTCATAGTCTAATTTAAATCAGTAATAATTGCATCAGCTAAATCTACTATCATTGTTTGTAGTAAGTGTACGGTGAAAGATCGGTTGAAGGAAATAAATTACTGTTGATACAGTAGATTTTTAGTCTTTAATCATTGACATTTTCAGAACAATTACTGTATTGTTAACAGTTTTTAACAAGGAAACCATTGTCAAAGTTTTAGAGGCTGTCAGAGTAAACATTATGTTTCTATTCCATCATATCTTGTTTCTTACAATTACTGGACTTCCTTTTCGTATTCAAATTAGTTAGCACAATATGTTATGGTTAGTGAAGACTATACATCTATATAATGTTAGTAAGCGAAGTGGTTCATTTTGCTTCGCGCAATTGCCTGTTGAGACAGTCATACAGATTCAACGATGAAAGGTGACAGGGAATGTTCCACTCAAGATAAATAAACGTCTAAGTTAGGAGATTAATTCCATTTTAATCGCATTTTCTTTAGAGACAATTCACATGTGGTAACTTACTGTATCTTCTCTTTCTTCTTCTGCGCATTCACTGGCTGTAAACTCTGGCGGAAAAGTTATGGTTGTTCTTACACTTTTCGACTCTGGTCCTGTTCCAGAAACTGAGTGTTGCGTGTGCACCTGTTTGACAGATCTGAATTTTTTTGTAATCAGACTGTTGGTTCCTTGCCTCTCAGGCAGATGCACTACGACTTCGAAAGGAGCTCCCGATTAGTCGACTCTTACGACATGCTTTTGGGTAGGCAGTGGGTCTATTCTTGTTTTACTATAATAGAGCAGCGGAACCCACACGTGAAAAACTCCATTTGGAAGTTCTGGTTTTTCGTAAACTCCTGGACTTTAGCACTGTTCCAGAACTTAAGATTTGGGTGCACTCCCTTTTACAGATCTGCAGGAAGACATGGTAAATGCAATTCTCTGTTCTGTACAGCTCGATGAGTCTACTGATTTTACTGACACGTCGCAATTATATATTCTTATACGAATGCTTCTCCTGAAATAATCTCAAAAGAAGAAATCTTAACCTTTAAGACTAATCAGTCAGCCCACTGTGGGATGCATTTTTGTTTGTTATTTGAAGCCCTACTTTGGCTCTTGCCAGGGGCCGCAATATAGCCCGAACATAAATATTGTCTAATGGCTGAACGCGGTTTCTAGGACCTCTCCACGGGTGATCCTCATCCAGATGGTGGTACTTTATGTCATCGGGTGTTTATCGCTTGTGTGAGGTACTGGTGGGGTAAAAGAAGATAGACAGAGATTATAGACTTCAATTCTGAAACAAGAGGTCAAGCCATTTATAATGATTTCAAAGACTATATTTATTACAAAGTCAGATTTTCCGATACACAAGTTGAAATGCATTATAACATAGGGCGCACTATCTTTTGTTGAAGCTAATTAATCGGTTACATTCCGCGAACATCACGAAGATATGCCTATATTCACACCGTACCATTGCATTATTCATCAACAAGCGGCATGTTCAAACATTCTGCGCTCGAATGATGTTATGAACCAGCATTCAACATCGCCAATTAATTTCGAGCCAGAAGCTAACAAACAAATAGGTTTCCAGCTTAACTTGAAGAATGTAACTTGAAACTGAGCACGGAGACTTTTTTTTGCATTCATTCGTTCATTTATTCATTTCATTAATTCAGTGGCACTGTATGATTTGACTAGTTTCAAGAACCGTTGTCCAGAAATTAAAGAGCTTTAGAAATCAATAGGAGAATTTTATCGTTATTGAGTATACCTTGAGTGGTTACTCAAACTACAATTTCTTTGTGAAATTACAACAGCAAAAAAAAAAAAAAAAAAAAAGTGAAACAAGAAAAAAGTCAACTTGCAAGGAAAATGCAAATCTATGACTGGAAGAGGTATTAGTAGGTTTAACAATTTCAGGAAGAGTATTACGATGTTTTCGCTTCAACGAGATCTGCAATTCAATGGAAGATGAGGGTCGGGATAACACATTTTCCAATGTCAAGTATTTTACAAGACAATAAGCAAACGGACTTGACAGATTTTTTCCGGAGTTCTTCTAATTAGGAGACGTAACTTTCATGTCATTTCCTTATAATGCAATGAAAACTGATTGCGTGGTTGAACTCTATTCTAAAATACAAGAATTTGTTAGAGAAGACCACACAGTAGTACATGAAGAAGTGTAAAAGCTGTGCTGCGACTTTCACCCACAAGCAAGAGCTGAGCTATTGACAGCAACAATTCCCTGTTCCGGAAATTAATGTCAAAAGAATACTACCCAAATATTTGAACAATTGAAGTGGAAGTTAGGGTGGGCTTGACACTGGGTTGCTACTGGCACAATAGCATGTAAACTATTTGTTGTTTAATGAAGAAAGGGATAGAGACAAAGGGGAGATGTCCGTACTGAAGTGGTGGCTAGTTCTTGAATAATTGATTAATTGATTAATTGATTCATTGATTCATTGATTCATTGATTCATTGATTCATTGATTCATTGATTCATTGATTCATTTGGAAGATGGCAGTTTATATGACAGCATACTTCATAGCTACATTTCTACGTGAATTAGCGTTCTCTACAAGTATTGAGAAACAATCTTAGAAGAGGAAAGTAATAACTTACGATCATTCCATTTCTTGCTTGAGAGAAGCAGTTACTCAAATGGTTTTTAGAATTAAAAACCCGTTGATAGCATACAGTGCTGTAGTGTGAGGACGTCAGCTGTGTGGTGAATGTGTGTGAGTATGTGTGTGGTGTATGTGTGTGAGTATGTGTGTATGTGTGTGGGTATGTGTGTATGTGTGTGAGTATGTGTGTGGTGTATGTGTATGAGTATATGTGTCTTTTTGAGAAATAAATGTCATTTTTGTTTTAAATGCAGTGTTTAATGTCCATCGAAAGGTGTAATACTTACTGGATGTTTAAAAGCAGCGCATACTTGTTGCTGTGCTTACGTCGTTTATTTTCTATTCTTTTTTGTTAGGTACTCTGTATTAGTTTATCGCTATTAGTCTGGTCTCTCTCTGAATGAAAGGTAGCCTGTTGTATTATGTGTACTGTTAACTTGTTCCTTCTTACCATTTTTTTTTAAAAATACACCTTTGTTGTTGCTTTTGTAACTTCTTTACCCCATGATTTAATCGAAGAGTTAAAAAATATTGGACTATGTTCTACATACATTTTCACTCATATCCGTAGTTTGTGTGTGCGTGTGTCTGTGTGCGGGCGTGCATGTGCGTGTGTGTGTGTGTCTCAGAGAGAAAAAGAGTGTGTGTGTATTTTGCGTGTTTTTGTGATATAAAATGGTTACTCACGAGATTCAATTTCTACATCGTGGCTTTCGGGTTGGTACAGTCTGACTGTCGGATCTGTGGTTAAGTCGATGTGAACGCTTCTTAATGCCGGGGTACCGGATTCGATCCCAGCTGCGGGTCATGCGCCGTGCATTGGTTTCGACAGTGGTATTAGGGGGCCGACCGTCCAGGGGCAATGGCAAACTACTAGACGTAAATTTGCCTAGAAAAACCACACAACAGCGAGGGGCTGCTGGAGTTGGTTCTGCAACATCATGTAAAGGATACACAACTAACCTAACAGTCTGACTGGTAAGACACACAGACTTGACACTCCGCTGGGAACGACAACACAAGACAATTTAACTCATGAATGTTGAAAGTATGGAAGCTTGTCCGTGACATGAACCCGGGGCTTCTTGCAGAAAACTGACTCAAGAATTCTGTGGTTATGTTACGTCATGATAATGACTTCAAAATACTGATATTTCAAGTAGCCTCTTGATGCTGACTAAAGAATATTGATTGTTCGAGTATCGTATCGATACTGACTAAAAAAATAATGACTGTTCAATTAGTGTTTAGATA